ATTGGATTATCTGAGTCCACGCTCAAATAAAGTGGGATTTTCTGCCTTGATATTCTGGGTTATAGGGCTGTGTGGAAGGGCCCTGGATGTAGGTGAACTACAACTCCCAGAAAGAAAAGTCAGTTCCTCTCAAAACTCTCCAATACGTTCCGTTGGTCATGGCAGTTCTGTGTGCCAAGTTTGATCCTGGTCCATCGTCAGTGCGGTTCACAGCTTCTCTGGTTGTAGGTGAACGACAACTCCCAAAAATCAAAGTCAGTCTCTCCCAAACCCCTTGGTGACCATATTATCCTCAAACCTTCAAGTTAAACTATATGTTCAGTTTTAGTCACAGCATCTTCAGTTTCTACTTCAGATGTTTGTGAGATCTTCAGATGCTTGTGAGATCCTCAGATGTTTGTGAGATCCTCAGATGTTTGAAACCATGAATTGAAGGTCTTCTTGATCCCCATGTTGTCCTCTCATTTCCACCTTAAATTTTAGTGGCTTCAGTTTAGATCTTTCATTCGAAGTATATCTCGTAATAAAATGTTATTATGGACCAGAAAAAGTAACAATGTCATGGTATGGACCAGCAGGCCCATTCCCAACTCAGATCTTCAGATGTTTGTGAGATCTTCAGATGTTTGAAACCATGAGTTGAAGGTCTTCTTGATCCCCATGTTGTCCTCTCATTTCCACCTTAAATTTTAGTGGCTTCAGTTTAGATCTTTCATTGGAAGGTATATCTCATAGTGAAATGTTATTATGGACCAGAAAAAGTAACAATGTCATGGTATGGACCAGCAGGTCCATTTCCTACTCGGATCTTCAGATGCTTGTGAGATCTTCAGATGTTTGAAACCATGAGCTGAAGGTCTTCTTGATCCCCATGTTGTCCTCTCATTTCCATCATTACACCTTAAATTTTAGTGGCTTCAGTTTAGATCTTTCATTGGAAGGTATATCTCATAATGAAATGTTATTATGGACCAGAAAAAGTAACAATGTCATGGTATGGACCAGCAGGCCCATTCCCAACTCAGATCTTCAGATGTTTGTGAGATCTTGAGATGTTTGAAACCATGAGCTGAAGGTCTTCTTGGTCCCCATGTTGTCCTCTCATTTCCATCCCCATGTTGTCCTCTCATTTCCACCTTAAATTTTAGTGGCTTCAGTTTAGATCTTTCATTGGAAGGTATATCTGGTAATGAAATGTTATTATGGACCAGAAAAAGTAACAATGTCATGGTATGGACCAGCAGGCCCATTCCCAACTCAGATCTTCAGATATTTGTGAGATCTTCAGATTTTTGAAACCATGAGCTGAAGGTCTTCTTGATTCCCATGTTGTCCTCTCATTTCCATCATTACACCTTAAATTTTAGTGGCTTCAGTTTAGATCTTTCATTGGAAGGTATATCTCGTAATGAAATGTTATTATGGACCAGAATAAGTAACAATGTCATGGTATGGACCAGCAGGCCCATTCCCAACTCGGATCTTCAGATGTTTGTGAGATCTTCAGATGTTTGAAACCATGAGCTGAAGGTCTTCTTGATCCCCACGTTGTTCTCTCATTTCCATCATTGAACTACACCTTAAATTTTAGTGGCTTCAGTTTAGATCTTTCATTGGAAGGTATATCTCATAATGAAATGTTATTATGGATCAGAATAAGTAACAATGTCATGGTATGGACTAGCAGGCCCATTCCCAACTCAGATCTTCAGATGTTTGTGAGATCTTCAGATGTTTGAAACCATGGGCTGAAGGTCTTCTTGATTCCCATGTTGTCCTCTCATTTCCATCATTACACCTTAAATTTTAGTGGCTTCAGTTTAGATCCTTCATTGGAAGGTATATCTCATAATGAAATGTTATTATGGACCAGAATAAGTAACAATGTCATGGTATGGACCAGCAGGCCCATTCCCAACTCGGATCTTCAGATGTTTGTGAGATCTACAGATGTTTGAAACCATGAGTTGAAGGTCTTCTTGATCCCCATGTTGTCCTCTCATTTCCACCTTAAATTTTAGTGGCTTCAGTTTAGATCTTTCATTGGAAGGTATATCTCGTAATGAAATGTTATTATGGATCAGAAAAGGTAACAATGTCATGGTATGGACCAGCGGGCCCATTCCCAACTCAGTACCGTCTTTCCCTTTCCTTGAGATGGACTCTACAGTTGTGGGATGAGGATGAGAACGAGAGTGACTAAAAACAGGAATCCTGTGATATTATTCTGGTGAAGAGACATGCATAGCATACCCATGAGGCGCAAGGTCCCAACACTCATCTTGCCCATTGATTATATCTAGTGCTACCACTGATTGCCTCTTGGGGTATTGAGACTTGGCCGGCTACCATATTCCTACTCCAAAGAGTATAATTATCAGTCATGCCCTGCAGTCCCTGAGTATACAGAAGGAAATAATATGTAATCCATATGCTTCTGAGTGAGTTCAACCCGTGGTGAGACCCTTTGTTTGATTCATCCTCAAGGTGGCCATCCTTAGTTCCTCGAGAACAACTCAGCTGGTATCTCCATGACCCTATTCAATATCCATCCTATTCCAGGAGTCACGTGGGTGCAAACACTGGAGCAAATTGCAGTTCTATGGGATGAAGCAAAAGTTAATGACAGGCCCTATAGTGTTTTCAACTCTATTCATCATGAATACCGGCAAGGAGCGATGATTTCAATGCGGTGAGAATGCCCACTAATCGCAAGGGCCATTTTTTGCGGCTGCCTCATTTCCTTGGGGAAAGGACCAAGGAGCTGTATAAAAAGGCTCCCATCCCATCATTCCCATCACTTCACTTGTCTTCACCATCTACCACTCCTAAGCAAGGTAAGAGAAATCCTGTTGCTTCTTGTGAACAGTTGGTGGGGCATAATAGGACTGGATAGATTTCCTTAAAATTAGATGATCTTCCCACATCTTTCATTGAGGTGTGTCAACAAAACATCTGGGGACCCAAGCTTGAGAAGCACTGTTCTACCCTGAAGTGTGGTGGAGGCTCCTTCTATGGAGGCTGGATGGCCATCTGTTGGGGGTGCTTTGAACGTGATTGTCCTGCTTCTTAGCAGGGGGTTGGACTGGATGGCCTATGAAGTCTCTTCCAACTCTATGATTCTATGATTCACTAGAGTGCAACTTATGCCTCTCCATCCCTTTCCATCCCATGATTTGTGCTGAAGTGGAAGGGGGGTATTACAACTTATTATATCTTGGCTCCACCATACAAATGATTTTGCTTAGTGGAGACTGGAGTTTTGTTGCGTTTCCGGCAATCGTCTTTGTAAGGAACAGTTGGACTGAGACTGGTGTAGGCCTTTAGCATCAGACTGCAGCTCTGAACCAAGGTGATGGATGCTGGGATCTCCAAGTCTATAATGTATGGAGAGAATCCTGGCCAATGATCCTCAGGAGATTCCACCTGAACATTAGAAAGAGCTTTCTGACTGTGAAAACTGTTCAGCAGTGGAACTCGCTACCCCAGTGGTACTCAACCTGGGGTCCCCAGATGTTTTTGGCCTACAATTCCCAGAAATCCTAACAGCTAGTAAACTGGCTGGGATTTCTGTAAGTTGTAGGCCAAAAACATCTGGGGACCCAAGCTTGAGAAGCACTGTTCTACCTTGAAGTGTGGTGGAGGCTCCTTCTATGGAGGCTGGATGGCCATCTGTTGGGGGTGCTTTGAACATAAGTGTCCTGCTTCTTAGCAGGGGGTTGGACTGGATGGCAGACGAGGTCTCTTCCAACTCTATGATTCTATGATTCACTAGAGTGCAACTTATGCCTCTCCATCTCTTTCCATCCCACGATCTGTGCTGAAATTTTGTATTGAGAGTAGTAGAAAGAGGGTATTGCAACTTATTATATCTTGGCTCCACCATACAAATGATTTTGCTTAATGGAGACTGGAGTTTTGTTACCGTTCCCGTAATCATCTTTGTAAGGAACAGTTGGACTGAGACTGGTGTAGGCCTCTAGTGCCAGACTGCAGCTCTGAACCAAGGTGATGGATGCTGGGATCTCCAATTCTATAATGTATGGAGAGAATCCTGGTCGATGATCCTCAGGAGATTCCACCTGAACATTAGGAAGAGCTTTCTGACTGTGAGAGCTGTTCAGCAGTGGAACTCTCTACCCTGAAGTGTGGTAGAGGTTCCTTCTATGGAGGCTGGATGGCCATCTGTTGGGGATGCTTTGAACTTGATTGTCCTGCTGCTTTGCAGGGGATTGGACTGGATGGCCCACGAAGTCTCTTCCAACTCTATTATTCTATGATTCACTAGAGTGCAACTTATGCCTCTCCATCCTTTTCCATCCCATGATCTGTGCTGAAATTTTGTACTGAGAGTAGTAGAAGGGGGGTATTGCAACTTATTATATCTTGGCTCCACCATACAAATGATTTTGCTTAATGGAGACTGGAGTTTTGCTGAGTTTCCCCACAACCGTTTTTGTAGGGAACAGTTGGCAAGTGACAGAGGGCGTTCCCCAGGAATTCTCTTCTATATTCATTTCTAATGGAGGCTTTTGAACAGAGGCTGGATAGCCATCCGTTGGGGGTGCTTTGAATGTGATTGTCGTGCTTCTTGGCAGAATGGGGCCCACGAGGTCTCTTCCATCTCTATGATTCTATGATTCACTATAGTGCAACTTATGCCTCTTCATCTCTTTCCATCCCATGATCTGTGATGAAATTTTGTACTGATAGTAGTAGAAAGGGGGTATTGCAACTTATTATATCTTGGCTCCACCGTATAAATGATTTTGCTTAATGGAGACTGGAGTTTTGCTGCGTTTCCCGCAATCATCTTTGTAAGGAACAGTTGGCAAGTGCCAGAGGACGTTTCCATATTCATTTCTGATGGAACTTCGAATCGGTAGTTTTCAAGTCTGCTCTCTTACACATTTGCAGTAAATTCTACCATTTATCACTGTTGCAAATGTTAATGCATGAGCTTTCTCGGTTCTATTTCAGCTTGACCTGCACCCAAGAAAATGTGCTCCTGTGGACAAAGCTGTAAGCAGTCTTGCTGTGCACCACCCCCCTGCTGCAAATCTTCCTGTTGTGCACCCCCCTGTTGCAAATCCTCCTGCTGTGCGCCACCTCCCTGCTGTAAGCAGTCTTGCTGCTGTTCACCACCTCCCTGCTGCAAATCCTCATGCTGTGCACCACCTCCCTGTTGCAAATCCTCCTGCTGCTGTGCGCCACCTCCCTGCTGTAAGCAGTCTTGCTGCTGTTCACCACCTCCCTGCTGCAAATCCTCATGCTGCTGTGCACCACCTCCTTGCTGCAAATCCTCATGTTGTGCACCACCTCCTTGCTGTAAGCAGTCTTGCTGTGCACCACCTCCCTGCTGCAAATCTTCATGCTGTGCGCCACCTCCATGCTGCAAATCTTCCTGCTGTGCGCCACCACCCTGCTGTAAGCAATCTTGCTGTGCACCACCTCCTTGCTGCAAATCCTCCTGCTGTGCGCCGCCCCCCTGTTGCAAGCAATCTTGCTGTTCACCACCTCCCTGCTGTGCGCCACCTCCCTGTTGCAAGCAATCTTGCTGTTCACCACCTCCCTGCTGTGCACCACCTCCCTGTTGTAAGCAATCTTGCTGCTCACCACCTCCCTGCTGCTCCCCGCCACCATGCTGCCAGTGCAAGAAATGCTAAGGGTCCATCTCAGGTACAAGGAAGTCTTGAAATCTTTAACTGGAATCGCCTATCCTTCAACATAGTAGTCATGCCTGCTTTCCTACACATCTGAAATGCCTGAATCTTCTCACCTGGCTCCTTCAACCATATCTTCAACTTTTCTTCATGTTTTCCGTAATCCATGCCAGAACCGTCTTCCTTCAGCAAAGGAGCCATGCTTACCATTCATAGTCTAGATACTGTCTTCTCTTCCCTTTTGGTGCTCGGGTCTTCAATCTTCTTAATATGTTCTCCAATAAAAGCATAACCATCAAAGAAGTTCTTGGGATTTCTGTTTGTTTGGTTTTGGGTGGATTTCCTTCTAATGTCAACATTTGGGATGACAGGTCTCTTCATGATTATCATATTTATTTTTATACCACTATCTTCTCCCAAAGGAGACTTTTCTTGAAATGAGCTTCATGGACACACGGAGTGGTTGGAGAGCATTGCACACTAGGCTTGTGCACAGATTCAGAGTGGTCAGTTCCTTTTAGCCAACCTGGCTTGTTTGCTTTAGTTGAATAGCCGTAACAACACATGCATTGCCCGACTTACCGAGCGAGGCTCCTTGCGGCGGGGGGTGCTCTCCCGCTGGCCAAAATGGTGGGGGGGGGCTTCTCCTTCCCAGAATCCCCCTGTGCCATGGATATTTTCCCATCAGTTGACCAGCTGGCCAACCAGAGACGTGTGCAAAAGCCCCTCTCCCCATTGTGCGAGAAGAATGAAGCATTAACCATTGTGAGGGAAGAGAAGCCTCGCCATGGACTCCCTTTCCATGCAGGAAGGCAGAGTCCTTTTTCTTTTGAGGAGGGGAGGAAAGGGGAGGATTGAGGAAAGGAAAGAGGGAAGGAAGGGGAAGGCCTGGCCCAACGGAGGGGTGGGGGCTTGGTGAGGCAAACCCCAGCAGCAGCTGGAGCCACCGCAGCAGTTCCATGAGGCCCACATGGCTACCAGGCAACTCTTCCCTCAAGACCCCCAAGACCAGAGGATTGCAAGGCAAGCCTGACTGCAGGAGTGGCTGCACCCCACCCCCCCCCCCCTTGTGTGAAAGGAGGATGCGAACCATGAGAAGACCAGCAACTCTCCCACTTGGGCTCCACCCCCCCCACCCCCCACCCCCCCAAAAAAACCTTTAAAAACCCTTACAAACTGTTCCGGAGGAAGGAGGGGAAAGAAAGGGAAAGGAGAAAAGAAATGAAGAAAAGGATTGGTGAAGAGAAGATTATGAATTGAAGGAATGGTAGAAGGAAAGAAAGAGGAAGGAAGGGAAAGGAGGCAGGGATGGGAGAGAAAAGGAAGGGAAGAGGAAGGGAAGGAGCAAAGAAAGAAAAGGGGAAACTGGTGAAGGGAAGAGAAGAATATAGAATCAGAGAGTCCTAGAGTTAGGAGACACCGGGTGGGCCATCCAGACCAACTCCATTCTGTGAAGAAGCAGGAAAATCACATTCAAAGCACACACACACACCCCACAACAGATGGCCACCCAGCCTCTGTTTCAAAGAAGCTTTTTTGAGTGTTTTGGCCAGCATGAATATAACTGAAAAGCCTTTCAATTTCAGTGGCTGCTTCTCATTACTTTATTTCCCATACCACCTTGCACCTTAACAGCCTGGCTTCTACTAGCCAGCAGGAACCCTTTGGTGGGAGGAGTTCCCTAGCCCAGATTGCTTCATGTCTGCAAATCCTCTGTTTTCTGAGGGCCACAGCAACGCGTGGCGGGGAACAGCTAGTAATATATAAACTTTTTCTTGGGGCTTTACGAGAATTCTTTGCTTCAAAAAAAGAGCTCTGTGGTTGAAGAAGTTTGAGAACCCCTGCAGTAGACCAAAATATTAAGTCAATACTGAAAGAGCCCAATGCCCATGTATACGGAACTAGCTGTGCCCTGCCACACGTTGCTGTGGCCTATAGTAAGAATTTTCAAAGAAGAGGTATATATCTGGACTATTATGAAAGAGCGGTACCTACCTATTCCTTCCCCCCTTTTTCTTCCCCTTTCTCTCCTTTCTTCCTTCTCTACCTCTTTTTTCATTCCTTCTTTTCTCTTTGGTTTCATCCTTCCTTCTCTCTTTCCTTCCTTCCTTCCCTCCCTTTCTCTACTTCTTCCTTTGTCTCCTTTCTTCCCTCCCTGTTTCCTTCCTTCTTTCATTTTTTATTTCCTTTTCTCTTTCCTTCCTTCTTTACCTCTTTCCTGCCTTTCCTCCCCTTTTTCTTTCCTTTCTACTTTCTCTTCTTCCTTCCTTCGGTACCTCTTTCTTTCCTTCCTTTGCTCCCTTCCTTCCTCTTTCCTTCCTTCCTTCCCCTTTCCCTCCTACATTCCTTCCTTTTTTCCCCTCCCTCCCGTTCTTCTCTCCTTCCTTCCTGTCTGTTCTCCCGCAATACTATGGTAGAGTCCCTTCTAACTCTATTCTATGAGTCTATTTAATATAGTAATATTTTGAATTTAAACGTATTTTTGTGGGGTTTTTTCAGTGATGGTCATTCCTTGGATTGTGAGGAGTTTTGTTGCCAAATTTGGGGCCATTTGGCCCAGTAGTTTTTTTGTTTTTAAGGTACTCATTACGCACAGAGCATTTTATATATATAGATGAACATTTTTTTTTAATTTCGTAATTCGTTATTAATTCGTTATTTTTTTTATAACGAAGCGATATTGAACCATTCAGGAGCAACTAAAAACGAAACGAATTTTTTCAATTCATTTCGTTATTGTTTCGTAATTATTTTTTAATTATTTCGTAATTATTTTCGCATGTCTGGTGCAAGTTTTATAGTTGTTGTTTGTTTTATCAGTGATAAAAAAATAAATTATCACACCAACAGACAACAACAGAGGGAGAGGGAAGCTTCAGAAGTCCCCCCTGTCCCATTTGGAGGGTTTTTTAGCGTATTGTGCAATCGTGTCCGCCATTAACGAATCAATTCAAAATTTACAAAATTTCGTAAATAACGAAATTTTTTTAAAGAAAAATTCAGAATTCTTTTAAAAAACGAAATGCAATGGACCCCCTAAAAACGAAACGAGTTTAGAAACAAATTTTTCCGTTGTTACCCAGCCCTAATATAGATGATCTATGAGTTCTAATTGGACCCTTGAGAACTTTAAGGGGAATAAGACAATGCGAGAATGTGAACTTGATTTTCAAGATTTTATTGCTTGTTGCATACAGATAAGAAAAAGGAAACACCAGGTGAAAGTAAAGCATAAAATCATAACTGGTCTTACATCATGACTCTGCCTAAGGCATTGGTCCTCAACCGTTGGTTCTGAAGATGTTTAGGACTTCCTCTCCCAGAATTCTTCAGCATTGACAACACTAGCTGGAATTTATGGGAGATGATGTCCAAAACATCTGGAGAACCAATGGTTGAAAACCACTGCCCTGTAGAACTCATAATTATATAGTTCATAGTTTAGCATACTGAGAACTTTATATTAGAAGGATCTTGATGCCTCCCACAGAGCTACAGCTCCTAGAGAGAACCGTGAAATGAAATTATGCCGGCAAGGTAGATACACCCAAAGAAAGGAGTCATCAAAGAACTGTGGCAGAAGAGATGCTGAGAAGATAAAGCCGCCCGGTCTCCACTTCTTTGGATTTGTTTTCAAGGAATCATGTGAAAGGAATGAGAGAGTGCTGTATAATTAGTTGACAAAAGCCACAGGTATTTCCCTTGGCAAGATGAGTACAAGAGATAAACAACAGTCTCCGAATCCATGTTGACAATTCGCTTCTCTCCTCCAGCTGGCTGAGATTTACAAGCTTCCTTGACATCCTTGGGGTATGCTTAGTATTTCTTCACCGGCATGGTACACTGTTGGATGGGCAGACGTGGCCGAGGGGCACAGCAACAACTTCTTGCAGGGACGTAGGAGTAGGAATACTGGCCTCCACCGCAACAGGGCCCCATGGGGACCTGTCTCCTCACGTAGTGGACCACTCTGGGCTTGCTTCGGTGACAACAGCAGCAACCGCTGCGTGCACCACAACGACTACAACAGCTCATGGTTACGGCACAAAAAAGGAGAGCCTTTAAGAGAAAACAGAAGGAGATTCTGTGAAGGAATTGCCAAATATTCATATCAGGTCAGAGTAACATAGAAGCTCCCCATCCAGTCACCTAACATGACCTTCCATGACAGTGGTTCTCAACCTGTGGGTCGCAACCACTTTGGGGGTCGAACAACTCTTTCACAGGGGTTATCTAAGACCATTGGAAAACACATATTTCCAATGGTCTTAGGAAATGAGACACTGCTAACTTTTTCCCACTCACTTTACTTCCCAGAGGTCTTCTTCTCCGGAGGGAGGTGTTGATGTCATTCAGCCCTGCCCCCTCCACCATTTTAGGAGGAAGAGATGGGAACAACAGAGGTGAGGTTTGCTTTGGAGCCAGGAGGAGGAGGTAGTAGTGATGGTGAGAAGGTGAGGGAGCGGGATTAAGGAGGTGGGCCTGGGGGGAGGAGAGGGCTTAGAGAGGGGTGGAGTGTCCCCTCCATGGCCGATCCCAGGGAGAAAGAGACGTAACAATGAAAATACAGCCTGCATATGAGATATTTACATTACGATTCACAACAGTAGCAAAGTTACAGTTTAGGAGTAGCAACAAAAATAATTTTATAGTTGGGGGTCACCACAACATGAGGAACTGTATTAAAGGGCCATGACATTAGGCAGGTTGGGAACCACTGTACCATGAACTCATGAAATGTCACCCGTAGGGCCGGAGGTTTAGCACAGCTGGTAAATCATCAGCAATTATAAGATCTATCAACCAAAATGTTGCAAGTTCAAAGCCCTGGGTTGGCGTGAGCAGCCAACTGTCAGCCCTAGCTCATTGTTTACCTAAGCAATTCGAAAACAGCTTTAGCTGTGATTAGAGAAATTAGATACCACTAAAAAAGAGGGGGAGGTGTTTTACAACGCCATAAAGAAGGAAGACCAGAGAATGCTGGGCGACCAAAAGGAAAGAGGAAATCCTGATGGCTCTTTGTCATAGAGGATGGAGCAACAGCACCACCTGGACTCAAGCCCAGTCTTCCATGGCGCCTCCTGTTCTGTTCTGTGTGTCTGTGTATTGTCTATACAAAGCAGCATTGAATGATTGCCGTATGTGTACTGTGATCCGCCCTGAGTCACCTTCGGGGTGAGAAGGCAGAATATAAATTAAGTGTTATTATTATTAGA